AAAAAAAAAAAAAAAAAAAAAAAAAAAAAAAAAAAAAAAAAAAAGTTGAGCACACATATAGCTATAGGTGCGTGTAACACTCGTCGTTACAGCAGAAACAGCAAATGTGTCGTATGTATGGGTGCAGATCGCTTCATCAGTTTTGCGTGGAACATCCTGTGCGATCACACCTCATGTAGGACCCCACTCCCCCCATTTCCAAACCATGAAGAGGAAAATAGGGGAGAAAACTTCCCCAATGTGGCTTCGACAGCCCAAATGATACATAATTAAAAAAAAAAAAAAAAAAAAAAAAGTAATAGTTACTGTGACAGGAAAAAAGGGGAACAACACAGCAACCCTATGGGATGGTATGCGAAATAAGGAGGGGGCCTCCATCTCCCTGAGTGACTTCCCCATAATAAATACAAGTACACACACAACAGCTGCTCATATGTCGACCAGGACAAAGGCCTCCCAGAGGTCCTCCGTCAAGCAAATTCTTAGCTCATGTTTTGTAATAGCCTTTATCTCTGTGCCACATTCGTGCACATCAGGCGAAAATATATCACCATAAGCACAGGCCTCGATGAAAAAGGACCTCTGATCGAATACTGAAATGTCCACATTTTTACAAATGATATATTCACTGCCATACAGGAAGTGGCATTCTGTTAAGAAATTGTATAGTAGGTCTTCCAGGCTCTCCCCGCTAGCTGTTATGTGCCTTGATAATGTTGGCTCCACTTTGTCTAAGTTACACATGTAATTAAACATTGACACGCATGCAGACTCGAAGCACTCGCTTAGGGTCTTTCCGTAACTGTGTAGGATAACATCGGCTGGGTGGTCCAGGTATTCGTAGTGGTACGTCTTTTCGAGTTGGCCATCCTGTATTTTCTGCTTGTCATAGGGCAGGGCTACGTTCTGCGCTATCGCTTCGTCTTGGCTGTCCATATGTACGCTGCTCTCGCTTTTTCCGCTCTCACCAGATTCTTCCGCGCTGTCGTACCCACTCTGCTCCCCGTTATCCTCCGACTCCTCCCCGTCACTACTAGCAGTGTCCCTACCAACTCGTCGTCTCCCTCTCTGGGGCAAGGAAAGAATTTCATTGTTGGACGGTTGCTTCATATTGCTAGCGCAGTGTGCGTTCGCATGTAGAGGTATGCAACAAAGGGGTGTATCCTATGCACGGAGATAAATTCTCCAATGTGGGCAAAACTAAATGAGCTGTAAAGAGTGCAGCAACGTGGACAAGATCCCGATCTTCTAAAGTTGTAAAAAAAAAAAAAAACCTGAACAAGTCAGGCATTTTATACAAAGAAAAGCCTCTCAAGAAGTCAGCTATTTTTCACAAAAAAAAAAAAAAAAAAAAATTCACATATTTTCACCTAACCACAAAAAGGATATGAATAACATTTCTACGTCGTTAAAACAAAACGACCTTGTTAGTTACAGGCACCGCCTGGCGAGGAGCAAAGGCCCCTTAAAAAGGAGTGCAACATTTGGAGAGCAAGTTTCTTTTGCGTGCCTTAAAATTTACACAAGCCAATTCGCGTATGTGCGTCAATACACCTTTTTTTTTTTAAATTCATTTACGCGCTATAAACCCATGTGAGCGCAAGTGAGGAAAATCCTAGTTGGAAACAGAGGAGGAACAATGGAATGCTCCTGTGCGCGTGACATATGCACGGAAGTATGCATGTGTATGCAATACACCACATGTGAAAAGGGTTGAAGGCACTTTGCCTTTTTGAAGTGCCATTGAGAGGGATGCACTGTTTCTTTTTTCCACCCAGGGGGCACATTTTATCTTTTCCTTCTGGGGCAATTCACTCGTTAGCTTTGCAAAAAAAAAAAAAAAGGGAGATCAGGACGCAGTCACTGCAGAGGGTGAGTGATCGTTCGGGGGGCAGACACAGAGAAGGGCGACAACGCGGGGTACACCTGGTACGAGGCAACTCAGCAGCTGCGCCACTGCAGCGGAAAAACAGGACGCAACGCACCACTTGAAGAAGGGACACCCGTGTGTGGGCTTCTCCCCAGTGGGATTATACCCCGATCGCACTTCTGAACAAAGCGATTTGCGAGAGCACGTTTATCCCGCCGAACGACACGAAATGAATGGAAGCACAATGCCCCCTGTGCAGTCATCCAAATTGAGACGTCTTCACCGAATTGAACTCCGAAGGGGTACACATAGACTCGCAGACATGCACATGCATGGACCGATCGGGTGCATCCTTTTTTGGTAAAAAGGGAGAGGGGGGCTTGTTCACCTTAAGGGGGGGGTGACATAAGATACAACATCGACCCGTGCAGAGATGCAGCGCATGGTTCTCACATGTGTTGTGCGGAGCGATACGTGAAACTGCGTCGGTGTGGCCCCACATTAGTGCAGTGAGAGTTAAGAGCTGCGTGAACCCACTTGAAGCTTCGTTCAGCCCTGCTGAGGGCACTATGGCGCCTCTTAAAAGGCCGCCTCCAAAATGAGGTGCCCAGCTTTTTTCCTGCTGCTGTGCACGACGCTCGTAAGAGGATTCGTCATCAGCGACCTCCAAGGGGGCCCCCTGAGCGCGACGCAGAAAAGCCCGCTGAGCGAGCGAAGACACAAAGGGGTCGTTCCAGGGAGGAAGAAAAGGCACCTGAACCTCTTCAAAGAAGAGGAGGTGGAGGAAAAGTACAACATGATCGACACGATTAACAGTCTGTTGGGGAAGGTAAAGCGACAGTTCAATATAGATTTCGATGTGGAGGAGGAAAAGCAGGCTCGGGCTAAGACGCAGGAGAGCAGCGGAGAAGGAAGCACCAGCGAGGAGCATGACTTGAATGCAAAAGATGACCCAACTAAAAAGCTGCACCGACGCGATCAAAACGACCTGAGAGGAATCTTCGGTACCATGATGGATGGGAGCTTCAAAATAGGAAGAGCAAACACCATGTTTAAAGAATTGAAGGAGGAGAAAAAACTTGTGGACAAAAAGTATAAGGCACTAATTAATAGGAAGATTTACCTGAGGTATAAACAATTCAAGCAGCTAGAAGAGGACATAAAAAACGGGGTCTTTAAATCTCCTTACAATGAAGAACAGAAGAAGTTTTTACAAAACGTGCTTAAGGAACAGGAGCAAGCCATAGAACTCATAATTAAAGAAATCGAAAAGGTAGAAAAGAACCAATACCTAGTGTATGACGAAAAGAATGAACAGCTAGTAAAACTGAGGGAAGAAATCACAAAAAAAATTAACGAAGTAAAAGTCAAGCACCAAGAGGAAGCCATCAAATTAGGGATTAAAAAAGTTATGGATGATTTATATGAACAGACAAAAACCCCGCTGGTTTGGGATTTGACTCAGATGGATTGGCCCAGGGCCATTTACCCTTTGATTAATGATATGAAGCTGAAAGCGGATGTCTACTGGGAGTCAACAGTTGTTGGAGGGAACAGAGAAGAGAATGAGTACTTCATCACCCCTTTTAACATACCTTCCATGGAGGACAAAAAGAAGAGACGGAAGGGGCGAGGTGTAGGAAGTAAAAGGGGAGGATCATCTGGAAGAGGAATGAAAGGACAAAAAAGTAGAAGTGGAGGATCCATCCCCTTAGGCTTTGAAGGGGGTCAAACACCACTGTATAGAAAATTACCAAAATTTGTTGCCGCCCCAATGGGACCAGGTTACCATTTCAACCGGTATGACTACGAATTAATTCCACTCAACTTAATTAATTTGGCTTACACAAGAAGTGGACAGAAAAAGTACCTCGAAATTGACTGGAATGTGATTGACAAAATGGGACTGCGCATAGGAAAGTACAAACGGAAACACCCCATTAAGGTCGTCGGGTGTAATTTGAAGAAGTACAAAATGAAGCACGGCTTTGACTTTGAGTTTTACGCGAAACATGTCATCGTAAAGGCGCATTCCTTTACAGTTAAGGCGGCGCGTGAAATTATTAAACTCGGCGGGAGGTGCCTCTTGCTGAAGAAGAACACCCAAGACATTGTGTACGCAGAGTATAACCCCGACGATGAGAACTTGAACAGGATTCCGCGTCGAATTGTCTTCTCTGGCAAGCCCTCCAAGTATGAGCGCAAGTTGCACTGGTTGAAGAGGGTGAAGATGGAGGAGCAGCGTCGCGCGGAGGGAGAAGCGGGCGAAGTGGGCGATGTGGACAAAGCCAACGAAGTGAACGGATGACGAACGTGGTAGCCAAAAAGGCGCGCACAACAATTTGCAAAAAAATATATGAATATATTTTTTTTTTTTTTTGAACTTTTTGCATGAACTGTTAATAGAAAAAAGTGCAAAAGGGAGGAGCAAATAGCTAGCTTGTTCAGGCAAAAAAAAAGTTGGATGCAAATGTACACACGCACCACCAGTGAGAAAAAAAAAAAAGGCAAACACTTCGAGGTTGTGAAACTTGTTAAGCGGCAACACGAGGGGAGAAAAGTCGTGCTTGTGTTTGTCCAAATCAGGCTGGACGGGTCTTCTCTCACGACGGCTGTATGTACCGCCAATATAAGGAAAACAAAAAAAAAAAAAAATACCACTCCAGCGTTAACTTGGGTAGGCAGGACGGGCATCCGTCCTTCCAACGTCACTACACAAGGCGAGGTGATCCCCTCGTGTGTACGCCCTTTCCTTTTAAGTTAACTCACTTTGCGCATTTATATAAAGGCTCATGCGCCAAGTGGAGGCCAAGGGGGCACCCTCTAGCCTCGCTTATCCCTCAGGAAATTAAAAAGGAGAATATGAAATGCAATGAGCGCATTGCAAAAAACCTTCTGTACATTTTGGTCCATTTGGCTTGGCAAAATATTGTTTGACACACAAATGTCAAATAAGTGAACATAAGTGATTAAAATGTGTTCACTGATCATGGAGTTTACGTAGCTGATGTGATTGTCGATGATCTCGAGGATGTTCAAAAACTGCTTGTCCAAGTGGGGCACACATTTGCACTTCAAGTCGTTTAGCAGTAAATTAATTGCATTTTTGAATATGTTTAGCGTGTCCGAGTGAATGACTTCCTTTAAGTTGATTTCCACGCAGCACTTCATCTCCTTGCCCTTTTCACCACTGGGGGTGCATTCGTTTTGCGCGTCTTCCTTTTGCACTTGTTCTTTTTTCTTGTCTTTCTTTAGGGGACCCAGGTGTTTACTCGCGTGATCACCCCCTTCGTCGTCGTTCTGCGCGTCCGTCTCGCCATGCGTGGGGGAGGGCATGCCCGTGCCGAGTTGGTCCGTGAAGTCCACGTTGGGGGATTCCTCCCCATTGAAGGTTTCTCCACCGTTGGAGCTTTCTTCCCCATTGGAGGTCTCTCCACCGTTGGGGAGCACGCTCGAAATGAACAGTGAGTCGTTCTTCTCGCACAGGCCCCTTAGCTGCCTTTTGCTAAAGTCGCAATTCTTGCACTTGTTCCCCTCGGCGTGATTGCAACTTTTAATTTTTTTAAGAAAAATGGCACCCCCATTTTTTATGCATTCCCTTTTTTCATTTACAACACTTTTTTTTTTAAAGTTCTTTCGGTTCCACCCAGAGCCCTGTTCCCCTCCCACACTCAAAATCTTATTGGGCGCTTGCTTTAAGTTCATTTTTAAGAGTCCACTTTGTTTTACATACAGGGTATTTTTGTTTTTCGTTTTTTTATGTTGTCTCATGTAGCTCAGTATTTTGCTCCCTTGGAACTTCACACTGTTTGTTTTGTCCTTGCCGTTCATGTCTTTATTGCAGTTGGTGATTTTTTTTCCAAGTATGTTCTTCCCTACCTTGTGTGTTTTATCCCCACCTTGCTTACTCTCATTGTTGTGGTCCATTTTATAATTGTCGCTGGAGGTAGGTATGGGGGGTACAGGATAATTGTCCGCCCCGTTAATGTGTCCATTGAGGCTGTCTACACTGGAGGAACTACTCTTCCCCTTTTCGTTCATAGTGTATAGGTGCTCCTTGCTCAAAGAGTCTTCCTCACTGAAGCACGTCCCATTGCACTCATCGTTATGAACAAGATGTGTAGATTTGTTTCCCTCCCTAGACAACGCCATTTCGGTCTTTGTATATGTTTCCTTCTGCTTCAGACAAGTGATGGAGCAGAGACTACCTTGTAGAATATTATGGTTAGAATAATCTTCCATTCCTTGGTCATATCTCAATTTGGAACTAGAGCCATCGAACATGTACGAAGTTTCACTTTGCTCCTCCCCATCGTCGTTGGTGATGGTATGTGTATGTAACCCATTTAGTACGAGTTGCTGGTTTAGCATTTTTCCCCCTTCTCTTCTCTCCCCCCAGTTGTCATTCTGCTGCTCTGATTTGTAGGGTCCACTTTTGGTCGCGGCGTTGCAGATGGGGGAAGAGATGTAATGGGCATGTTGTCCCCTTTTCAACCCCCTTGTTTGAACGGCACTTTTATTTTTTCTACTAACACCCTTCCCATTGTTCGGGTCCTTTTTAATTTTTTTCTCCTTGACTTTACCACTGGGGGATCTATATTTCCTCTTCAAATTAATTATGGGGTCGTGATTCATTTCGAGGAATTCACTGTTTAGGTTCCATTTGAGGGGTTTGTTAAAATCTTCATTTATGCTGTTATATATATAATTAATTTCCTTTGTCTTAATGGTCTTAATGGCTAGTTTCCTGGCTTCATGGAATCCGAATTTTTGCACAGAGTAATATTTCCTTGCTGATTTTGTTCCTTCAGCCCACCTGGCTTCCCAACTGTTTTTGTGCAGATCGTACCAGACGCCGGAGACCCTAGGGAGACACTTGGCGAGGTTCCTCAAATCCTGGGCACAGATATCCTCTTCCTCTTTTTTTATTCCATTTTTAAAACACCTCTTCACGAACGTGACGTAGTTTTCCAGGTCCAACTCTTTTAGCAGCTCGTCCGAGTTCCCCAGGTTGGTCGACATTTTGGGTGGGGGGGGGAAAAGGAAAGCACAACAGAGTGGCGCAATACGGCGGCGCGATAGAGCGGCGCGGTAGGGTAGCCCTATAGCACAGCGCCGTAAAACAGCGCGGTAGAAGGAAGCTTGGGGGAAATGCCAAGCAGTTTACCCCTTCAAGCAAAGAACAAGGCTGCGCTATAGGAGGACCATTCGGGCGTCGCCAAGCGATTGCACCGGTTAGCCGCTCCGTCTACACGAGCACGACGTTGTGGGCGGAAGTCTTTGTGTCGGTCGCTATCCAATCGCACATGCGAAAAAAGACGCACAAAAAAGAGGCACGCTTCATGGACATGTGTAGACATATCCTGCGCTTTATTTTCCACGAGGTTCCTTTTCCCCCCCCCGTCCGTAATTTTTTATAAGCGGCTATTCGCGTCGCCTGTTTTTTTCTCCCTTTTCGTCCTTCCTCGCCCTAGTCCGCGTGGACCATAAAATGACTCAAACGGTGTATAACATTCACCTGCACACTTGTGAGGGGTGTACAGAGAGAGAGAGTTGCTTCTTCTTTTTTTTTTTTTTCTACATGCCCAACATAGGGAATTGTGTGTGATAGGCTGAAAATTATTTCGCTCTTTTTTGGTCTTCCGTTCTTCCACTCGTTTGCTGCTTCGTTTATTCACTCACTCATCACTTGGTTACTTCAATGTTTTTTTTTTTAATTTTTTTTTTTTTTTTTTTCCCGGGTAGGGAAATCCACGTGGAGGGTGCGTATGTCGGGTGTGTTTCCAATTAGAAAAAAAAAAAACAAATTGCCTTCCGTTGCAGGTGTGCTCGTGCGTGTGGCCACAGCACATGTGTAGGTCACCTTTTGCGCAATTGTTACATCGGGAAAGCGCTTGAGTCTGCATGCATCAATGCAGCAGAGTAATGGCAGAGTAGCAGCGCAGCACATGCGCGCGCTAAGACAAAGGCAGTCACAAAGGGGGAAACTGAAAAAAAAACACGAGGCGAAAAATGGGCATTCTTGTTTATGCCCCTCCCCGTAATTAATACCTAGCCGTAGGAATAATTGAGGGGGAAATAAAAAAAAAATTTGTAGAAATAAGCGAATGTTTTAAATGTCCTCTTCATGTGTTATTAAAACAATGCAGCATTGGGGGTGTATGGTCACTTTTGCAGCTGGACGCGATTAATTCTACTTCGTTCACCGCTCACGTGTGACTGTGCATATTCCTTCGCGTTTTGCGGGGGTAACCCCTATGTAGGAGCGTTCGTTTGTTTTTTTTTTTTTTTATGATCAATTAAGGGCAATCAGGAAAAGCCGTGAGCAGTCACAGAACTTGCGCGTGGATTATGCCCTGTTTGATTTCCGCAAATTTCCGCACACTTTAGCGCATTTCAGCGCAGTTGCTCTTTTTTTTTTTTCCCTGCCCATGGGCTACCGATTCGCCGAATGTTCCTTTTCGCAAAATGGTTCTTTAAAACTGGGCGCAAGGGGCAAATAGGTGGAGTGTCTGTGTATGTTCATGAGCAAGTGCATGCACAGGTGTTAACCTTTTCTCACTTTTTATTCTTTCTTGGATTTCTCTGCAAGTTCTTCATATGTTTACATTTCGTATGTTTTTTTTTTTTTTTTTTTTTTTTTCCCTTACACCTCCCAGTGTTTTACGTTTTATTTGCCACACTATACATGCATTTATGTAAATAAAAAATGGAACCAATTTTTTTTTTTTTTCGAAAAAGCAATGTAGAAATGTCGCTATTTTTTTTTTTTTTGAGCCAATTGTGGGATCCACTTCTTCTAATTTCTGTGCTTCCCCATTTTTGCACCATTTCGGTACTCGCGGACACCGAGCTTATTCGCGCATTTTCCGTTTTTTAATTTCGAAATCGACCGTTAGACGTTAGCGGAAAAGGGGGGAAAGACACAAGTTGGGGCACCGTGAAGAGGGGCTAGCAGCGGCAGCGTGACTCCGCAGTTCGGTTTGGCCTCCACCCCCTGTGGGTCGAGAACTTCGAAAAATGTAAGCAGTCGAAAAAAAAAATAGGAAAAAAAAAAAAAATGGCGAGGAAAGAGCGCAAAGGATTCTCCTGCGGAGTTTCCTATCGATTCGTTTAGCTCGCTCCGCTCAGCGCCCCGTATCCCCGTGCGAGATAACATGTCTTACCGGCTTTTTTTTTTTTTTTCTCGCAAGGCGCCTTTTAAAAAGCACCCTATGTTTGTATACCAATTGTACACATTTTTCTCGGTGCGCAAGAATCACCCTGATGACGCACTCCCGCGTTTTCCAGCTTGACTCAATTTTTAAAACGCAAAATGGGTGTGCATTTTGGGAAATAGGAGAATAATTTATTTTATTTTTTTATATATTTTTTTTTCTGAACGGGTCAGGTAAACATGGATCAAAAAATTTCACATTAAAAAAAAAAAAAAAAAAAAAAAAGCTAGCTACCTACCTACCTAACCCATTTAGCTAGCAAGGAATGTAAAAAGAAAGCTTTTCTTCCCAAGGAGATTAATTACAAAATTTATAAGCTCATCACTAATCGGGTAAAATTTATGTTTTTACTTTCATTTTACCGTCATGTGTGATAGCCCGACAGGGCATACACTATGGGGGACGCAGGTTACGTTACTCTCCTTTGCAAAAAAAAAAAAAAAAAAAAGAAAAGAAAAGAAGAAATTTATATGTTCACCATTTTGGCAAAACGACAATTACACCCCAATGGGGTGTGGTCCGTGGCGCCCTTTCACATTTTTGCATCCAAATGGGTTGAATAACAGACAAATGAGGAAGGAGGGAAGTAAGGAGAGAAAAAAAGGAGAAAGGTACAAACGTATGTAATCAATAGATCCGCCAATCAATCTTCCTTCCAACCCGCTTTCTGACCCTCCAATAGGGCAATGACGAACAAGTACACACAAGGTTACTCCTCCACGATGGGAGGCATTAAACAGACAACGTGATGTCATATGAGTGGCTCAAAATTTCGCGTCTCTTCACTTCACAGTGCCGGAAATTATGGCCCCCGTGAATGGTTCAACGGGGCCAATGTTATATTTCCTCTTCCGTAGGGCTGCAGACGTCCGCGTGTTGCCGTTGAGGGGGCAGAAATTGAAGTGCAGTGAAAATGTATGCCGTAAAAAAAAAAAGAAAAGGAAGAGGTACACACTGCACGCGTTGCACAGTGATACGCTCGACGATCGCTTACCCGAGCCTTTGGGATACGAGTCGGACGCTTCCCTCCCTACGAAGGGCCATTCAACTGAAAGGGGGAAGAAAAAAAACATATACATAAACGTAAGCGTAATTCTGTGCGCACGCGTAAAGGATCTCAAACATACGCACACGAATTCTTGCGTCGCGTCTTATGACCACAACGGGGCTACACAGTTTTGCCAAAAGAAAAGCAAACAATTATTAACCATCACACTCTTCCGCGTAAGCCCTTTTCATTCCCCTTTCGAATGATGCAAATAATTTTTTCTTCGCACATGGACCCATATAATTTTGGGGGGCAACACAGTACTACAAATTGGAAAAAAAAAAAAAATGGGTCATACAATAAATAGGTGTCTTCAGGTTATTCAAGTTTGTCCACGTGTTATGTTTCGGTTGGTCCTCATATGTACAACCACGTCATTTTTTAAACATGCACAACTGTTATGGAAGCGGCAGTGTGATGTGTTAGCATTTGGGTTGGGGAGGTACCTGCCCCTCCCTCCCTTTGTCTACGTATCCCTTTCAGACAGTACCTGTTCGCTCTTGGTCCATCCGTCTGGGCACAATTGGTCGTAGTTGATCGGATTGGCAGCTTCAAATAAAGTCACGTTAAAAAAAAAAAAAAAAGGGAACCATTTAAGGGCGGCGATAAAAAAAGGAAGAGGCGCTTGACACATGTCGAAAGGGTACTTAAAGGTAGATGATGTGTGTGTGCTTGAATAAATCCTATTCCACATTGCTTTTTTTTTTTTTTTTTTGCCTTCTTAACTGAAATAGCTAGCTGGCGTGCCTTTTTGCCCTCTTTGCAAGTAGGGCCTCTCACCTGGAGAACAGGGCCACCTGACGCCACACTCATATGACATGCGCTCTTTTGACTTCAAGTTAGTGAGACCTTCAAGTTATGTGTGAGTCGAGACGATGTAACAAAAATGATTACGCAGACTTTGCGCGTTATGCATGTTACATTTTCACAAGGAGAGGGATGGTAGAGTAATTGTATAATTGTTCTTCACACACGTGTTTTCAATTACCCATCAATTTGGTTTCCTCCCCACATGGACCCGTGTAGTTATCAGGGGGCAGACAGCTGATAGCATTTCCAAAGGCATCCGATTTTACGAGCCATCCGGCAGGACAAGGCTGTTGGAGGCGAATTGCGAAAAAGGGGGAGAACAGGATGGTTCTTCCAAGGATAGGGCAGTTATCATTCATGGTGGTGAAAAACACAATCGCTATCTGTTTTTTTTTTTTTTTTT